GAGCGTTCCCAGATGGTTCCTGGTTGGCTCTAAGACTACGGATAAGCTCCGCCTACTGTTTTATGATGCCAAATAGTCAGTTATTATATTAGAAAGAATATTACAAGAGATAAAAAACAAGGAAAAAAATCCAAAAAATATATGGGCTGTGAGCAGACTCGCTACCCACATCGCCGTCACCATACCTGATATAAATGACTATAATTTCTTGTAGAAACGTCGTAGAACATTCATTCTGGTACCATTGTGTTGCCAGAGAGTTAAGCTATTTTTCGGTATAAATAACTCAATTTCCATAATTTTTCGATTTTTTTTGAGAGCGCGCGGAAAATTGCCTGACTGCCTCCTGAAGACTCCGATGAACCACAGGGATGTTAGGAACTGTGGTGATGAATGGTTTGAAAAACCGACAAGTTGAAGATTGAGACACTTATGCAGCATATGGGAATCTTTATTCAGGAAACGTTTCGCCACACAGTGGCTTCATCAGTCCAAAACAAAGAGGAAGGCGTAAGGAGAGGAGGAGAATGAGGTAATCAGTCCCTCAACCTGGAGTCGATGTGTTCAGTCCATCAATCTTGTAGAATGTACAGCATAGGCCGTAGACGTGGCTTATATACTGTAGTGAGTGACGTGAAGCAGATGAGCGGGGTATATAGTGGTACCATCCACTAGTCCGACTACTTCGACTAGTGGATGGTACCACTATGACCCCGCCTCCATCTGCTTCACAGCAACCTACCAGTATATAAGCCACGTCTACGGCCCTATGCTGTACATTCTACAAGATTGATGAAACACATCGACTCAGTTGAGGAAACTGATTACCTCATTCTCTCCTCTTCCTTACGCATTCCTCTTTGTTTTGGACTGATGAAGCCACTGTGTGGCGAAACGTTTCCTGAATAAAGATTCCCAGATGCTGCATAAGTGTCTCAATCTTCATGTTAGGAACTATTTCTTCAGTCACAGAATTGTCAAGAAGTGGAATAGCCTGGGTAGTGATGTAGCGGAGGCAGGATCCATACATAGCTTTAAGAAGAGGTATGATAAAGCTCACGGAGCGGGAAGTGACCGAGTAGCGGCCAGTTGAAGAGGTGGGGGCCAGGAGCTGTGACTCGACCCCCGCAACCACAACTATGTGAATACACACACACACAGCTGAAGACTCAGACTAGTCACAAGGATGTTAGGAAGTATTTCTTCAGTTATAGAGTTGTCAGGAAGTGGAATAGTCTATCAAGTGATGTAGTGGAGGCAGGAACCATACATAGCTTTAAGACGAGGTATGACAAAGCTCAGGGAGCAGAGAGAGGACCTAGTAGCAATCAGTGAAGAGGCGGGACCAGGAGCTGAGTCTCGATCCCTGCAACCACAATTAGGTGAGTACACACACACACACATGAATCACAGGGATGCTATGAAGTATTTCTTCAGTCACAGAGTTGTTAGGGAGTGGAATAGTCTGGGAAGTGATGTAGTGGAGGCAGGATCCATACATAGCTGTAAGAAGAGGTATGATGAAGCTCATGGAGCAGGAAGAGTGACCCAGTAGCGGCCAGTGAAGAGGCGGGGCCAGGAGCTATGACTCGACCTCTGCATATAACTACGTTAATGTTTAAAAACAATAATAGTTTGGTACTAACTTACTTAAGTGAGACACCTTGATGCCAGTGAGGGGCTCTTGATTCAAGGAATTGGAGAAGCATTTTCTCCCTTGTTAAATTTAATTAGATATACGTACACATAAGTACAATTATCGCACAGTAGTCATGGAAACATTATTATTATTATTACAAGGACCCCACTGAAAATAAGTCACCTTGACTTTTTTGGGTTACCCTAAGCGATCTTTACATATGCTGCTATGTATGATAATTTATGTAACTGTCTTTGTGTACATGTACCCGAATTATTATTAATGGGGTCGAACCTGGTTGCTTCCCTCTCCCCCAGACGTCGTATGACCCATACAGGTATAGAGGCGCCTCCTGTGAACGTAATAATAATCCACTAGCATAGTGGTAATGTTTCTGACCTGCGTGTGGAGGGACACGGAGCTGAGAGCCCGTGGCAGCGTATGTTGTGGCCGGACACGGACTGACTGTCCTTCAGCTGGCAGTGGCTAGCTAGCCGCCAGACACCGACCTTTTTTTTCTTGTTGAACAGCATTTGATACACCAGCAGTGTGCTGCTGTCCTATTCAATATGATAGTTACAGTGAGGGGGGAGGAGGTTGTGTCCATTACGCAGGATGAGGCTCATACCAGGTGTTGAAATCTGGGTGGTATGAGGGTGGTACCTGGATATTGGTGAAGGGCTCTTGGCTCAAGGATTTGGAGCTACCCTTTCCTTTGGATCACTCCTGATTAGCTTTCATCTCCTAGAAACTATGTGACTCTTACGTTTCTCCTTGAATATAAGAAGGGTTTTAATATGTGATTATTATTTATTGTATTCAATGGGAAGCGCTAAATCTGTAGAGGAAAGGGGGATCACATAGCACCCAGGAATGGAAGATAATTAAGTTTGAATCAGTGAAATGAACTTTTCGCCATATACTCCAGTTTCACTCTCTCTTTCCCTTTCTCCACTGCAAAAAAAAAAAAAAGTGAGGTACACTAAGAAAATGTAAGGGAAACATCAAGGGATACACCTGGTTAATGCTATATTACAGCAACATGACATTCACTAGTGCAGGAGCATTCACACTTTTGTAAGTAACCCTGTCTATTCCAAATTATGACTTGCTCATCCCCATCACCTTTGTCACTCATATTTAATCTTTACAACGCATCATGACACAAACCCATTATCTTTACTACACAAACGTTGTATGTTTACGGCTGTACTTAAGAATAATCACGCATATTTCAAACTGCCAGTGTAGTGTTATGACATCTTACGGATATGAATGATGATATGTTAATATAAGATATGTTAATGTAAGATATATATTGTTTCTTACTATGGTAAGAAGCAATATATATGCTTTCAGAAGAAAAAAACTGGTTCCGCATAATTATGTCGTGGCAAAGGGCATCAGTGCCCTCAAGCCTCGCTTAGATAAGCCAGGATATTCTTCCATGACTTGTGCTCGTATATCCACGAGTGGTTTTCGTTTGAATTGTATTGATAGTCCCCCGTCAATCATAACCCCATTGGTTGTTCCTGTTCGTGAAATGGCTGATGTGAGACTGGAAAAAAAAAGCTTCCAATGTATTGCGTATCCAGGTATGAGATTGGTCCCTCGGGGTTAAATATCTCCGCAGCTGCTTCCTCAGTTGCTAGGCATGATCAGTGATCTTTCACGTCCTCATTAAAGATAACTTCAATTCTTTCTAGGAATTCTTGTATCGCTGGAAGGCACTGGAGGGAATTTGTATTTACACAGCTTTACCAGAATGCTCTGGACAATGAGGCGATGACCCCTTGAAGATATAAATTCAAATTCAAGGTCAAAAAACAAAAAAACAATCTTGCCACATAGGTCAGTTTTTTTTTTTAACTAGTTCTGTACATATTGGCAAGAAGACAGTAGAACTAGTCGCCCAAAAATAATTGGTGAACTTCGCATCCCAATTCAAATGGTTGTCAAAGCTTTGTCGCATGACAACCAGTGCACTTCATCGTGAAAAAATTTATTCATGTTTTCTGCTCGTTTCGTTGACCAGAGTTGTAAAAATCAATGGAAGTTGCGGACGAGCTTTGATTTAGTTTACCATTTTCACCCAAGCACTGGCAGACGCGGCTGGCAGGTGTCTAGCTGCAAGGTCTCCGTGAAGGCTGAAGTGTACTCAGGAATGTGATGAATCAACTTAACTGATGCAGGATTTAAGTGAGGACAGTCTCAATAGTGGCAACTAAATCATCATTAAATTTTTGTGTGCCAATGGGCTCGTAATTCTTATACCATTGATCCAAGTGGTTAATAAAATTATCTCTTTGTTCTGGGTTGTGAATAAGTTTCCTCCTTTTGAATTTAGCTTCTTGATTGTCGGAGATGTGATCAAGATTGACAGTTGAGAGTCTAGGGAAATGATCAGATAGAAGATCATCAACTATGACAGAGTCATGCATCGTATATGATGTATTAAATCCAAGGCACAGATCTGGTATGCCACCATATATGTGAGTAGGCTCAGTAGTGCCCACAATTCGAACATTATCATGCTCATTTAGCAATTTCACTAGTTTAGTTCCATTGGTGTTCGTTACAGACCCACCAGTATTCTTATGTCTGGCATTGAAATCTCTAAGAATGAGGATAGGTTCACTATTGATGCGATCTGGTAAAGCATCAGGTCGAAGCTGGTTCGCTGGGGCATAGAGACTAAAAATGTTTATGGAAAAATCGCCTGCATATACTTTTTCACCATGATACTTCATGTTTACTCGACTCTGTAGGGCAAGGAGTGAATGTGGCGAGTTCTTTCTGACATACATCACACAACAGTTGGTTGACCTTAAGTTATAAGCTGCATATCCAGGCAACTATGGTGGAGGTGCTGCATCTTTCAGTCTACATTCCTGCAAACAGATGACATCAATATTCTTGGTTGCACTAATATGATGTAAGTCAGGCAACCGCTTCCTGATGGAAGCAATGTTCCATGAAAAGATCTGTAATGTATCCATTGTAGTGAGTTATTACAATCTCTTGCTCATAAGATGGTAAGACTATTATGCTTTGGCTACAGTGTGCAGGCACTTAAGAGCAAATAGTATAGTTTGTACGTCTTTATCTTCAGAACCTTTTTCTCTAAGCATTTTTCGGCATCTTGGCAGCCAGATCCAAGGCAACCTTTGAACCAAATTAGAAACTTTCTTTGGGGATTTTTCTGCGATCTGCCTCCTAGCGTGTAAGCAAATTTAGCTAAAACTGTTGACACAGACATCCCGAGATATTAACTCAGGCACGCCAGTGGCTCGTGCAAAAAAAAAAAAATCCACAAGATTTTGTTATGTAATACCTAACAGTACAAGGCAAGTCAACTTACTTGATTGCTGGAGGAGCTACACTTACTTACTCTGGGTACCTCAGAAATGACGGGCGTCGGTGTTGTCCATCGCCACAATCTCCCAGCAAACGTTCTCAGTCCAAGCTTCAGCAGAAAAATTGGCCAATAATGCTGACAAACGTAGATCCAGTTCGCTGGGGTCTGTCTGGATACTAATAAATATCCCCGGTGTTTGAGGAAGCTTCGTTGTTCTAGTAGTTTCCTCTGCCCAAATAAGTTATGCCAGTTTCCTGGCTACTCAATTAACACGTCCGTCCTCGTTGACTTGTGATTCGTAACTGAACTAGCTAGTGTCTTCTAACTGATTTAGTTTTAATTTGAAACGCTAGCTATCTAATACTACTATTTAGAGTTAATCCTACCTATTTTGGATCTAACTGTATTAAAAGTCTAACGGTCATTTCTACTTGTGTAACTACATGTAAATCTTCCTGAAGGACAAATGTTATGTAAGTGGATATATTAAGGGCTCTGAAAACTCAAACTATGTAACGTTTCGTAGAATATTTTGGTAGCCCAAAATAAATTCCACACTTTAACCTGTTCAAATAGCATCAGTTTTGTTCTGAATGCCTTGACATGCGTGAATAGATCACAAATCAAATTTGTTTCACCTTCCAACTTCAGATTCAATTGATTCAAACAACTGATTCAACAACCAAGCCATCGAACTGCTCTATAATAAGGCAAGTCAACGAACTCGGAATCAGTTTCTTTCAGAAAATCGCGAAAAATGGCGATAATTAAACCCGTGAGATCGAATGAAATTCATTGTTGAAACAACAGGTTTCAGAACGCAAGACATGTCCACATATTTTACGCATAAAGATTGCTGATGGATAACGCATTGCAGAAACATAGGCTTTGAGAATCCTCTAGAACATAAGAACATAAGAAACATAAGAAAGGAGGAACACTGAGGAGCTCTGGCATACTAGCAGGTCCCTTTAACAATTCATCCCACAAGCTTTTGTGATTCGTCTAACCAAACCTTTCTTCACCCCACACATGCTCTTCCCTCCATCATTGCAGTTTATTCCACTCCAGGTTATATTCCAATACAGTTTTTTGCAGTACTCTGAAGATGTCTTCTCCGGTTCCTGTGCTATGCATTGTGTTAATTTCTCGTGACATTAAATTCATTGTCGACGCCACGGATGAATAATAGCTGTGATGTGTCACTCATATCATTCGATATATGAACTGCAAGGGAATAAAATTGAAAATTTCCTGCTTTGTCTGCAATTTGATGAAATATATTGCTTCCTATATCCTCAATTCTACGAGCAACTTTATTTGAAGAGATTTGCTTTTTCTTGGCTTAACTCTCCCACTGCTTCCATAATACACTCTTTGATTAGCTGTTCATATGTGAATGGCTTTCCTCTTTTTGCTAATGCATAAGTACTTTTTAATGGCCTGCATAAGTTTATTTTAGTTCTTTTCTGCGTTAAAACACTCGTTGGGAAGCAACCTGCGTTTTTTTGATTCACATTTTTCGAATGTTCGTTCTGTTAATGTTCAAAGTGCCCACGTCATTGTATTCCTTCAAAATCAACGTTTCGTCATACACACAGAAAACTTATCACCTGCATGTTTAGTATTCTTTATTAACAGCGACACTCACTTCTCTCATCGTTTTTCTTTTTTCTTCATAATTTAAGGATATATCTGAAAAATGTAAAGGTTTGAACTAAAATTTGAACAAATTTTGACATATAAATTGTTATAAGAAACAAAATTCTTAACCTTGTGACTGGAAAATGAGGGTTTAAAAGTTTTTATTTATAAATATTTTCAAGTTGCTGGGGCACGTAAATTTTTGTGTGGGCCGCACGTGGCCCGCTGTCTGCAGTTTGTAGACCTCTGTAATAGGGCAATATAAACTAAAGTAAAGAGGGGGCGGTTCCCATAAAATAATAAGATTTGTTCAGATTTTAACCAGGGGGGGAAAAAGTCTTTCTCGGAGAAAAAAAGGCTGTATTGACCTTGCTGAATGTATAGAAACTTTAACGCTGGAAAAAAACAACTCGGTCATAGAGCCCTACTTGTTAGTTTAATATGTTATTAAGCACCCATACCCATCTGTGGGCGGTAGTCAAAGATTACAAGTACATAATTGGTCCAAGGGATGGACTCCAAAGTTTGATGCTGAGCCCAAATTCAGAGGTAATGATCACAATTTACAAAGGTAATGAACTCAAATTACAAGGTAATGAATCGGTAGGTCTATGTCACATCATGACAATTACAAGGTATTAAGATTACAGAGGTACGTTAATGGGTCCAGGGACTGCCCCAAAGTTTGGATGGCTGAATAGGGACAAGGTAATGAACTCACAAGTTTTCAAAGGTAATGAATTTCTGTAAGAATGGCTACAATCATGAACAAAATTATTAGTGTAATGGGGCAATTCACATTCCACACCGGTCACAACTGTAATGAGTTATGGTGCAAAATATTGAAATTGTTGAGTCACACACACAACACACAACACAACACACCACACCCCACACACACACAAGAAGAGCTCACTCGAGCAAGAGCAAAGTTACTGGAAATGGGCGATTCAACCACAGGAGATCGACTGGGAAAACCCGGAGCCACATGGGGTCCCGGAAATGGAGAGCCAGAGATGGATTGGTACTTGAAACCTCATGCATCAACATGTCAGGGACACAACAGAGAGAGAGGGGAGGATGAGCCAGCAAGATGGATCTTGGTTCACCCTGAGCAGTTCAGACATTGAGGACATCACTTCGAGAGGCCCCTTGGAGCTAGCGATCATGTGGTTTTGAGTTTTGACTATATAGTAGAGTTACAAGTGGAGAAGGTAAAAGGAACTGAAGGGGACAGGCCAAACTATAAAAGGGGGGACTACCAGGTATGAGAAACTTCCTGCAGGAGGTTCAGTGGGACAGAGAAATGGTAGGGAAAAACAGGGAAACGAGATGATGGAATATGTGGGAACAAAGTGCAAGGAGGCAGAGGAAAGTTTTGTTCCCAAGGGAAACAGAAATAATAGGAAGACCAAAACGAGTCCTTGGTTTACCCGAAAAGGGGTAGGGAGGCAAAAACTAAGTGCAACAGAGAATGGAAAAGGTACAGGAGGCATAGGACCCAGGAAAACAAGGAGATTATGTAGAAGAGCCAGAAACGAGTATGCGCAGATAAGGAGGGAGGCCCAGCGACAGTATGAAAAACGACATAGCATCGAAAGTCAAATCTGACCCGAAACTGCTGTAAAAGCCACATTAGGAGGAAGACAACAGTCAAGGGCAGGTGATAAGGCTGAGGAAAGAAAGTGGGGAACTCACAAGAAACGATCAAGAGGTAGTGAGGGGCTCACACGAGATTTTAAAGGAAGTATTTACAGTAGAGACAGGAAGGACTCTGGGGGGACAGACCAGATGGGGACCCAACAAGGAATACACCAACAAGTGTTGGACGACATACATACAGATGAGGAGGAGGTGAAGAAAAAATGCTAAGGGACATCGATACCCCAAAGGCAATGGGACTGGACAACATCTCCGTGGGTCCTTAGAGAGGGGAGCAGATATGTTGTGCGTACCACTTACCACAATCTTCAAAACATCCCTGGAAACTGGGCAACTACCTGAGGTATGGAAGACGCAATGTAGTTCCCATTTTCAAAAAAGGAGACAGAAAAGAGGCCTAAACTATAGACCTGTGTCATTGACGGGATAGTATGCAAAATTTATGGAGAAGATTTATCAGGAGGAAGTGGTGGAGCACCTGGAAAGGAACAGGAGTATAAAAGCCAACCAGCACGGATTCACGGAAGGCAAATCCTTGTCACAAACCTTCTGGAGTTTTATGATAAAATAAAAGAAGTAAGACAAGAGAGAGAAGGGTGGGTTGATTGCATCTTCTTGGACTGCAAGAAGGGCCCTTTTACAACAGTTCCTCACAAGAGATTAGTGCAGAAGCTAGAGCATCAGGGGCAATATAACAGGAAGGGCACTGCAAGGATCAAATAAATACCTGACAGGGAGGAACAACGAGTCATGGTACGTAATGATGTATCACAGTGGGCACCTGTGACGAGCGGGGTCCCACAGGGGTCGGTCCTAGGACCAGTGCTTTTTGGTATATGTGAACGACCATGATGGAAGGGTTAGACTCAGAATTTTCCCTGTTTGCAGATGATGTGAAGTTAATGAGGAGAATTAAATCTGATGAGGACCAGGCAGGACTTCAAAGAGACCTGGACAGACTGGACACCTGGTCCAGCAAATGGCTTCTCGAATTTAATCCTGCCAAATGCAAAGTCATGAAGATAGGGGAAGGGCACAGAAGACCACAGACAGAGTATAGGCTAGGTGGCCAAAGACTGCAAACCTCACTCAAGGAGAAAGATCTTGGGGTGAGTATAACACCGAGCATGTCTCCGGAAGCACACATCAATCAGATAACTGCTGCAGCATATGGGCGCCTGGCAAACCTGAGAACAGCATTCCGATACCTTAGTAAGGAATCATTCAAGACACTGTACACCGTGTATGTCAGGCCCATACTGGAGTATGCAGCACCTGTTTGGAACCCGCACTTGATAAAGCACGTCAAGAAACTAGAGAAAGTACAAAGGTTTGCAACAAGGTTAGTTCCAGAGCTAAGGGGAATGTCCTATGAAGAAAGATTAAGGGAAATCGGCCTGACGACACTGGAGGACAGGAGGGTCAGGGGAGACATGATAACGACATATAAAATACTGCGTGGAATAGACAAGGTGGACAAGGACAGGATGTTCCAGGGAGGGGACACAGAAACAAGAGGCCACAATTGGAAGTTGAAGACACAAATGAGTCAGAGAGATAGTAGGAAGTATTTCTTCAGTCATAGAGTTGTAAGGCAGTGGAATAGCCTAGAAAATGACGTAGTGGAGGCAGGAACCATACACAGTTTTAAGACGAGGTTTGATAAAGCTCATGGAGCGGGGAGAGAGAGGGCCTAGTAGCAACCGGTGAAGAGGCGGGGCCAGGAGCTAGGACTCGACCCCTGCAACCACAAATAGGTGAGTAAATAGGTGAGTACACACACACAAGCACTGGACAAGCACCTAAAGTCAGTTCCTGATCAGCCGGGCTGTGGCTCGTACGTTGGTTTGCGTGCAAAAAGCAGCAACAGCCCGGTTGATCAGGCTCTGATCCACCAGGAGGCCTGGTCACAGACCGGGCCGCGGGGGCGTTGACCCCCGGAACTCTCTCCAGGTAAACTCCAGGTAAACACACA